TGTCTCCCCCCAGCCGAAGCTCGCGGACCGCTTCTACGGCTTCTCGTACATGTACGACCGCACCGCCGCCATCGGGCTGCTGGACGGGCAGCCGCGCCAGTTTGGCTCCGTCGCGATGAGCTACAACGACATCGCCGCCGCTGGCCAGCTCCCTCTGCTGGCTCAGTGCGGGCGGAGATCACTCGAGATCGTCCGAGGTCGTCCGAGATGTAGGCGAGTCCCTCTGCCGGCTCAGTGCGGAGGAGACGGCGACGCGGTTCGCAAACACGCAGGATGCCGCAAAGTCGAACAACTATTGCGGCGACGTGGCGTACGTGGCGGCTCTGCTCAAGGCGAGATCAGCCGAGATGGGCCGAGATGGGCCGAGATAGCCGTTGGCTGCTCCGGTCGAGGCGGCCGGCTTCGAGGGCGAGGGCAGTGCCAATCGCTACGAGTTGACGGAGTGTGGATCAGCCTAGTGCCAACGAGCTACGCTATGACCTGACGGAGTGTGGACCAGGCGCTTGGCTTTGAGGGCGACACCAGCATCACGATGACCAACAAGATCGAGAAGGTGGAGCGGCGTGTGGGCCTCGGCGCCTTGCCCAGTTCCAGACTCACCGATGGTGGACTGCTGCAAGGTGGAGCTTGTGTGGACGCTCGGAGCAATGCTCGCCAAGTCGGCCGAGCTGCTCGCAGACACCGGCTCGGGCGGCCTCGGCGCCGGGAGCGTGATCGGAGGGCTGGTTGCCCTCGGCGCACCGCCGCCGCCGCGCTCTGAGCTGTGACTGTGAACAGCGTTTCTTCACGGGTTATTTGTGGACAGGCTTGGCCGCCGCCGCACTGAAGCTCCTCTCGCAGCGAAGGTCGTACAGCAAGCTCCTTCCCTCGAGCAGGAGAGACTTTAACTAAGTCAGCTGAACAATTCACTACAGTCGTACAGCAAGCTCCTCCCCTCGAGCAGGAGAGACAGACTAGTGACTCGTCATTAGCCGTGAATAATGCTTGCTAACACGCTCCGCCTCTCGAGCAGCGGCGGCTTCTGAGCGGAGTCTGACTGCATCGAGGCTTCATCGATGCGCCCGCGTACCTCCGCGAGAAAGATTGGCGTTTGCCCGCACAATGCCTCCAGAGTGTGCGTATAATCGCTGGCCGTGGACACCTCTCGGGCGTGGACACGTCTCTGGCCTCCTCCTTCGGGCGGATGTGCATGGCACGGATGCATTTTGTGAGCGGTGTGCGATTCGATCATTGTGTTGTACTGTTGTAGTGAGACGCGTTGAGGTTTGACGCCGGACAGGGGGCAGCATCAAACGGACAAGCGTAGCAGCTTTCCATGTGTGTGCGGACGATGCGTACATGCGGCTCCCCTCATCCACACCACCATTCCGCCCGCCTCGCACATTTTGGCATTGATCATTGGGGGCTTTTTGGCCAAAATCGACCAAGACAAATCCGTAGGGTCGCTTAACGGCACCCCCGCGCGGTGCCGAGCGGCCCAGGGCCGGCCAAGGGACCAAATTCGACGGGACCGTGCCGGTTTGTAGAGCTCTAGTAGTCTAACCACCAAAACGATTTCTGACCTCTCCCGTGGCCCCGGCGAGCCCCGGCGGAGGTCCGGCGCGGCGCTCCAAATCCGCTCTTCGCGAGCTTCTACGGGAGTTCACGCGGCCTCTCCGCCTCGTGAGGCACACCCCACACTCACCACGAGCCCTGGGGCTGTGCGCGGATCTTTGGCCGCGGCGTCCGGAGCTTTGGTCGTCGAATATCGGCCGCCAACTAGGCCGTCGAGCGAACGTGTCCGGAGAGGCTCTTGGATGGGTCCGGCAGCGGTCCCATGGACCCAGAAGCTCCCCCCGGCGGAGCACTCACGGCTCGGCCCCCGCCCCTGGTCACCCAGACGTGCCCCTGGACAGCCGTAGGGGCTCGGATGACGACGATGGCGCCCGCGACGACGCCCTCCCCGACGACGTCGCATCTGGCAGACTTTGAGACTACTCTCGGGCGCGGCGGCGCGGATGATCACATGGTTTGGGACTCTCGGTCTGAGCGATGGCAGAGGCCTTTATTTGCAAACGAGGACGCCCCGCGAGGCCCCGTCGGCCGGGAGTGGTGAGTGGGACCATAAACAAGCACTATATCCCGTACCGCGACCAGCCCACACACAGCCCAAACCGCTGCCAAACCGGCCCTGGTCACGCAGGCGGGGAGGCTGCCGGGGCGCCCAAACAGTCCCTCACGAACGCCACACACGGGCCACCACGGCCCGTCCGGCGGCCCGAGTGCCGCCCCACACCCGCCCGACGCCCTCGGCCAGCCAGCGCCCACTCTGAGAGGCTTCACCGCCGCCAGCGCGCCGAGCGCGCCGCCCTCTCCTCGCGCCACACGGGCCCCTGGCCGCACGCCCGAGAGGCGGCCCATAATTTGAGTCGAGACGCGCCGCCGGCCAGCCAGCAGCTCGCCCGCCACCCGCAGAGTGCCGCCGCCGCCCCCAGCCCGCACTGGAGAGGCTCTCCCGGCCGCTAGCCGCTGTCGCGTCGCCCGGCGGCTGCGCTGGCAGCGTGGCGGTGAGGGCGGTGGGGGAGATGGCGGCGGCGGGCTGGGCGGTGGCGGTGAGGGAGCTGGCGGCGACGGGGGCGGGGGTGACGGTGGCGGCGGGCTCGGTGGCGGCGGCGAGGGCGGCGGCGGCGAGGGCGGCGGCGGTGAGGGCGGAGGGGGAGAGGGCGGGGGAGGGCTCGGCGGTGGCGGAGACGGGGGTGGTGGCGAGGACGGCGGAGGCGAGGGCGGGGGCGGGCTCGGAGGCGGTGGTGACGGGATGGCGGCGAGGGCGGTGGTGGCGAGGGAGGCGGCGGCGATGGCGGGGGCGGGCTTGGGGGCGGAGGGCTGGGCGGTGGTGGTGATGGTGGCGGAGGGCTGGGCGGCGGCGGGGATGGTGGCGGAGGCGACGGCGGCGGCGGCGACGGCGGACGCGGGCTTGGCGGGGCCGGGGAGGGCGGTGGTGGCGAGGGAGGTGGTGGCGATGGCGGCAGCGGTGATGGCGGCGGCGGCGACGGAGGGGGCGGTGAGGGCGGCGGCGGAGAGGGAGGCGGCGGCGATGGCGGAGGCGGCGAGGGAGGAGGAGGTGAGAGCGGGGGCGGGCTTGGTGGCGGAGGGCTCGGCGGCGGAGGCGATGGAGGAGGCGGGGGAGGCGGAGGGGGCGACGGCGGCGGGGGCAACGGAGGGGGCGGCGAGGGCGGTGGCGGTGACGGGGGCGGCGGCGACGGCGGCGGTGGGGATGGCGGCGGGGGGAAAGGTGGCGGGGGCGAGGGCGGCGTGCTCGCGACGGCGGCGCCGAGTCGCCCCGAGCGGAGCACGGCCAAAGGTCTGAGACGCGGGGAGGGCGGGGCGGGAGGTCGTCGTGGGGGCGTGGAGGCGCGGAGGCGGCGTGCGGGGACGCGCGGAGGGCGGCGGTGGTGTGTGGGAAGTGGGCGAGGGAGAGCTGAGGCGGCCGGCGGTGGTGGCGGGAGCAGCGGAGGCGACGGCGTCGGAGGGGGTGGGGGGGAGGGAAACAGCGGCGGCTGTGGCGGAGACAGCGGCAGCGGCGGTGGCGAGGGCCTAGCCTGAGGGGGAGGGGGTGGGGGAGGGGATGAGGACGGTGAGGGCGGCTGGGGCAGCCGGGAAGGCAGCACAGGCGAGGCGCGGCGCACCTCAAACTCGAGCGAGTAGCGGGAGTATCACCCGCTGCTCCGGCGGGAGATGCTCCCCCGCCGCCCCCTGGGCCACCCCGAGTGACCTCGCAGCCCACGCCGTGAGGCGCTGCTGTCAGAGGGGTGTATCACCGCCGTATCAACCCCACACTGACCGCCGAGGGGCCCGGCGGGCTGAGGCGCGCGAGGCGGCTTTCGCTCCCGTGGGGCGGCTCTACCCGTCTCAGCACGGCGTCCCGAGGTGTAGCCGTGTACCTGGTGGCAGGGCCATCACTCACGCGCCTACTCGCGGCACAAGGGAAGGCGTGACGCGATCGCGAGAGGCGAGATGGGTGATGGCGAGACAGTCGTTTGGCCCGTTTGAGGCAGGAGTGGTGGCCGCAAACGATGAGAACGACGAGGCATCGCGCGCTTGTGGGGGAGGTGGAGGGAGGCGGAGGCGTGGGCGAGGTGGAGGGCGGCGGGGCCTCGTTTTGTTGTTGGCGCCCCTATCGGGGATTTTTAGGGAGGCGGCGGCGTGGACTAGGTGGGGGGCGGCGGCGGCGTGAGCGGTGGCGGCGGCGGTGTGGGGGAGGTGGAGGGAGGCGGAGGCGCGGGCGAGGTGGAGGGCGGCGGCGGCGTGAGCGGTGGCGGCGGCGGTGGGGAGAAGGTGGAGGCTGGCGGCGGCGTGGGCGAGGTGGGGGGCGGCGGGCGAGGTGGGGGGCGGCGGCGGCGTAAGCGGCGCCGCCGCCGCGATTTTAGGCAGTGGCGTGCTGTGAACAAACAGCGAAGAAGACGCCTGTGGAAAAGCTGGAAAAGCGCCGCTGCTACTTTGTAGTGCGTGTATATTTTGGAGGCCCCCCTAATGTAAATAGATAGAGTGGGCGATGCACGAGCACCAGAGGCACAACAGCGCGCACCCCGCCCCGGCAACGCCGGATTTCTTTTCCCCATTGCGCTTGTTTGTTTCGATATTCTTCATTCATCATCGGATCGGCCAACACGTATGTGCCTCGCGGACGTGGGCCGTCTCTATTGTTTTCAGTCCATTTTTTCTGTTTTAATTCCCTTTTGTTCGCATTGTTTTTTTTCGCTCCGACACGAACAAAAAATCTGGAAGATTTTCTAGGGGTGACGGGCTGCAGCACCAACGCGACTGCAGGCGGAGCCTCGCCATCGCCACCATAGGAGGCTCTGCGGCGGAGCCCTGGCGATGGGATTTGAAGGCGGTGAGTCCTGAACTCACGCGCCGCTGCCCCGAAAAAATTCTCGCCGGCGCGTTTTCTCTCTTTGCCTTTGCCTCGGCGCCTCTTTGCCTTTGCTTCGATCGAAATGGAGGACATAAAAAAGGGATGTATGATCGCCATTGGCACCGGCGGCGCGACGAAGATCGGCAAGGCCACATACGTCGACCGCAGACGGATGGAGGTCCAGGTGCAGTGGCAGCGAGTGCCCGGCGCGTTCTCGAACCACTTCTCCGTGCATGCCGTCGGCGCGAAGACGCCGAAAAAGAGGCGCATCCGCAAAGCCACTGACGTCGACCTGAGCGCGTACCGCGACGCTCACTTCGCGCCGCGATGCTCATCGCGCGGCGCTGCACCAGCGGCGGCCGGCGAGGCGAATGGCGAGGCGGCTGACGAGGCGCCTTCCGGCGGTCTCACAGAGGGTGGCGTGCCGGCGGGCTACACCTCGAGCCCAGAAATGAACGGCGTCGAGGTGCCGCAGCAGGCGGCAGCCTCCGATGCGGTCATGGCAGGTGAGCGAGGCGAGGAGGAGGCGGTGCCGGCGTGGCTCGACAGTGGCGGGCGGGTCAACGCGACGTTCGAGAGAGGCGGCGTGAGCGGCCTCACGCTGCTGATGGACGCCGCCCACCACGGCCACGAGCTGCTGGCCGCGACGCTGCTGCAGCGTGGCGCTTCGATCAACCTGCAGGACAGCGACGGCAGCACCGCGCTGATGTTCGCCGCCGGCCAAGGCCACGAGCGGATGGTCGAGGTGCTGCTCCGGCACGGCGCGAAGGTCATCCTGCAGAACAGCGTCGGCGAAACCGCGCTGATGGCCGCCGCCCTCTTCAACCACCCCGCCGTTGTGCGGCGCTTGCTGCGGGCGGGCGCAGACACGGCGGCGCGCGCTGAGAACGGCAAGACGGCGCTGCAGGTGGCCAACGAGAAGGGCCACGCCGAGTGCGTCGAGGCCTTCAAGAAGCACGTCCAGGAGGTGGTGGCGGGACGGCCCTCGGCGACGGCAGTCGGCGGCGCAGGCGCAGGCGGCGGTTCCTCCGGCGGCGCTTCCTCGGCTGGATCGAGAGTCGCGAAGGATGCCAGCGAGAGCGCCGCCTGCTGCTCCGGCCGCGGCGCGGGTGAGCGGGGAAAGAAGCGAGGCCAGCCGACGGCCGGCGAGGAGCGCGCCACGAGTGCGTGCAGGGCGAGCGGCTCGTGCGCGCCGGCCTCCCCCCGTTTCCAAGGTCCGCACGCCCGCACGCCTGCAAACTGCCAGCACACCCGTATCGCGCCTTCATCCGTATCGCGCCCGCGTCTTCAGGCTG